TTGGTTATTGAGAGCAGGCAAAGGAAGAAGAAAGTGACAAAATATCCTCATAGAGATTTAAATAGTATATGCTCAGGGAAGGGACTGTTTCTTAATCAAACAGTATTTCCTACATGAAAATGAGAAACTGATCTGATTTTTTTGATCTGTTTTCTTCTTCTTTTTTGTAAGATGAATCTAAAACTCTCAATTGTGCCATTAGGGGGCCATAAAAATACTCTATTCTATTCATTCTCAATAATGTCAAAGACTTTAGGTTATTGTTTTGCAGGCAGTGAACTTTTTCCAGTGCACACACTCAGGACTGCTATATTCAAAATATCAGATTATTTTTGATTCCTGTGATGGGTGTAGGGCTTCATTTACAGAATATGTTTACCAGGCACTGCTTTTGCTTTCTGTGTCTTCAATTAAACCTATGTTTGGTTGATGAGATTGGCAATGATTTTGCTTCTGACATCCTCCTGTATTTGCTGTTCGGTGACTCTGCTTTTCCTCTGCCTTTGTGAGTGTTTAAGAAGAGCAGAGTAACAGGATAAGGCTCAGAGTATATGGATGAGAAAATCTCAGCCAACAGACCCTTCTGTCCTAAATTGATGGGTCCATTGCTACAATGAAGTGGCAAGATTAGGTGACAGGCAGTAAGTAAATGCTGAGGGTATTGGAGCATAAACTGTACAGTTTCTGTCTTCAGTTAGCTGGGTAATCTCCAGCAGGGAATGCCAAGCCTCATAGGGCATTAGTTTTCCCTTACTGCACTCCAGTACTACAAAGTATCCTACATTTGCTGAGCTTTCCCACTTCTGGTAATTAGCTCCTGCTGCAAGGAATTCCAGGCCAGGCAGGGAGTTGTTTCACTGACTATCAAATTGCTGTTTCTGCTAGAGAAAAGAAGGCTGCTAAATGCTAGACTTTATGCCTCTTATCTGTTATTTCTCACATCTCTCCAGTGTACTAACTTGGTTCTCTCAGGATAGTTTGCCTGGCAAGGGCTTTTAGTTCCAGGCAGTGAAGCACAGAATTATGCTTTTACATTTGCTGTCTTGGACAGCACACAGGACAGCCAGGTTATATCTGTGTTACTGGTAGGTACGTGCTCCAGAATCCACTTTAGGACAAGGCTGAGGCTCATCCCCCACCTCTTTCTTGCCCTGCTTCCAGAGGGAATTGGAAGTGCGAATCAGAAAGAAGCTGCAGGGTGCTGCAGTAGTTCTCACTGTCCTTTTCCAAGATTAGAACATATCTGCTGGGTATGACATGATGCATTACCTGTCTTAGAATATAAGTAAATACAGGTGCAGACAGAACGGACTGGAAAGCACTTCTGCCGTACTGTGCTTTTAAAAACCTAAGACACATGCACATAGAACACAGACGACATCTCACATGAAACTTCAGCATGTGCTGAACTTACATTGACTGAGAGTTTGTCAGCATATTAGATGTACACCACCAACTAGAAAAATGGAGTGAACTGATTTAAGACAGATATTCACTTAAAAGCTATAGAAATATTAATCTTGTAAGTAAATTAAAATTTGAATAAGTCAGAAACTTCATTCTGATTCCTTATAAGACAGCCCTACCTTACAATCAAGAAAAGATAAATGAGGTCAGGATTCTTTACTTTCAGTACTTGGTAACTTCTACTTAGCCATTTTACAAAAATATATTTTAGGATGACAAACCAAGGTGTGTGATAGTGGAAGAATCATTGATGTCATTCTTACCCTCTTATGTATACACACACATCTGAACACGTAACTGGTTTATTGTGTTGGAATTGTATTTCCTATTTGGTCTGTAAATAAAACTGTCAACAATTTTAACAACTATTTTTCCCCACAGCTGTAACATAAATAGATTATCTCAGATCTGAGAAATATGAATGCACTGTTCTGATGGCTGTAATTTGTACATTAACTATGCTTTTGCACAACTGCTGAAAAAGGGATTCCTTGTATCACATCCAAATGTTGATACATATATATGTATATATTAATAATTCTCTTGGTCTTGACTCTTGTCTCCATTTTACTGTATGCTGACTTATCAGTGCAGGGTTGGGTGGCAGTTGTTGAATCATATTGTATGGTCTCAATCTAAAGTGACTCTTAGTTATGTTATTTGAATTCCTGGTATTAAAAGCTATGACTGTAATCTCAGTCAGTGTAAGAACTAGAAGTAATTCCCATCAATGAAATACTGGAAAGCAAAATTTTACATACTATTGGAACATAAGCAGATTTCTCTTGAAGTTTGTTTTAAAATTCAGAGACTAACTCCAGTACAAGTAGAAAGGTCTTGTAATTAAGCTATGACAGATATATCAGATAGAAAAAGCTCACGGGGAATCTATACAAATAACAGATGAAATTCTGGCCCAAACCTATGGGGGAAATAAAAAGTTCAAAATTTTCACTAAATTAAGCCACAATTTCAAAATTCCATTCTCCCAAAGCAAATGGAACTCTTCCAGGATATTATGAACTATGAAATGCTTAAGTCTCTTTTGCTGTGCATATATGAAAATACACATTATCTACTTATATCTAAATATATTCTATTAATCTCTCTACTACTAGGTGTCTGTGCACAGACTACAGAACTTTGTTCTGGAAACAACAGATGTGGATGAATTTTAATCCATTTGTTGATTCTTAGTTGAAGATTTGTAGGACCACAGATTGAAATTTTCATGTTTTTGTTAGTACAAGATAAGCCAACAAGGGATATAACCACAGACTAGAAGAAAATATCAAGATCTTCTCGCATGCACAAAAGTTGTTAAGCCTTTCACTGTAATCCAGCAGTTTTGCTTTTCTAGGATCAGCTGTCCCATGGCATCTTCTTCCACATTATCCAGTGCGATTCTATCAAAGTACAGCTCTGCGTCTGAGATGTGCCCTCCACATGCTAGTTCCTTCAACAGATACACGGTTGAGCTTTCTAAAATCAAAAGGGCAACTCTGGGAAGTGTGGAGCACCAGTGCTGGTCCTGGTAGTGACAACAGATGCTGATGTAAAACCTTTGTAACATAATGGATTCTGTGGTTTCTATGACATTTCTGCCTTTTCATCTTCCTGCCTGTAGGTTTTGGGATCTTCTTCTTGAAGGAGGAACAGCAGGTGATTCTCAGAGCCTACTAAATAAGGTCAGTTGAAATTCCAGTGCTCAGTGTCTGCAGTTGCTGAGAGCATTCAGTTCACACAATCCTGAATGCAATGTTCAGTTTAGGTGCAGTAATTAAGTTTTATAATTCGGTACTGCCATCTCACAGTGATGAAAGATGAGCAAGGCAGTCCTTTCTCAAAATAGTGACTGTTTAATGTTTACGTATCTTTTGTATACTTATTTGTAAAATTATTTTTATGTGCCCTTTGGGGATTTATTGATCTTTTTATGGTTACTTCGATTGGTGTTTTCTAGATTTTTCTCCACATTTACAGTGATTAGAAAATTGAAAGACAAATCATAGAATCATAGAATGGCCTGGGTTGAGAAGAACCACAATGATCATCTAGTTTCAATGACCCTGCTATGTGCAGGGTCGCCAACCACCAGAGCAGGCTGCCCAGAGCCACATCCAGCCTGGCTAAATGTTGAGATTCTGTTAAAATTAATTTTAGAAAATTAACTTTAAAGAAAAGCTTAAAATCTTAATCCAAGAGAAGCATGAGAGTTGACAGAAGTGAAAGTTTTGTATGTGAAGAAAATACATTTTCATTTATTAACATACTCAGTGCAGTATTGTATACTTATCATCAGCATTCAAACCTCTTTTGGTTACATGTTTTGTAGGCACTAAGTGCACCAATAAATTCCTGCTTTTAATTTAACAGTTTCTCTAATCTATAAGAATACAATTAATCATCATTATCGATATTCTAAATTCTCAAATCTGTGAAAATCAAGAAAAATCTTTATAGTTAGGAGGTCAACTTTAGGAACAGACAGGAATAAAAGAAAGCTTTTGCATTCTTTCTTTGTGCTAGTGACAAGGAAAAAGCTGATGACAAGAACAGCTGAAGTAACCACTTCACCAAGATACAACCAAAATATTCAGTAAGCACATTTATATGTATACACACACACACATTTTTCTTGCAGTGTTTTTCTAGTGACTGACTAATGAAGACAAATGGCATTGGAAATTTTTTGATGTGTGATGAAGTTACTTTGAAAGTGGCCTTAGGAAAAAAAAAATCTCAACAACGACTGATGCATAAATCACAATTACACATGCAAGTAGACTGATTACACCTGGCACAATTGAATGACAAATTACACGGAAAAGGTCTTTTAAAACTTGCAACTACAAGTCTGCCCCCAGGCTAGCCTGAGAGTCCTTTCATTTCAGCACACCATCACTCTGCTACTAACTGCCATTCGTTTGGAAGATAATGTAAAATTACAATTAAATGCTCATTTAGATGTGCAGTCGCTCATTTTTACACATGCAATATGGAAACCATTTTTCATTAGTGCTTTGTGCTTTTCTGAACTGTATCTAGTGAAAAGAGTAAATGTGATTGTACGACTCTCAAATCTTTATACTTCAGGAGCACAAAAAAGTACGTTAAAAAAAATAATTCAATAAAACTATTAGTTCACCAAATAGAGATTTTTGTTGTTGTTTTTCATTTAGATTTTTGCTCATACATGAGTAAAAGCTGCGATATTTCTATTTTACTATATATAATCCTTGACTAAGGATAAAATATATAATCCTTAACTAAGGATTATGTATTGGTTCTTCAAGTTATTTGTATCACGTATTTGAGAGATCACTGGCCTATCAACACACAATCCAAGAATATAAGTAACATCAAATGAAGCAGAAATTTCTGCAAGAATGGAACCAGCACCAGAGAAACTGGTAGGCAGCTGATAAAGTGGACGAAGCAACTTATGTTTCCACTTACCACAGTCAGAAGCAGGATTCTCTCTAAGCGAAGTACGTGGTGGCTTAAGCCAGCAGGTTGCTGGGCTCTGTGAAATGGCTGTGGTCCAGTGCTCCCTCTGCCTGCGCCAGAATGCTGAAAAGCTGGCCTCACTGCTACTGCTGGCACTGCCAAGTCAGGGTGGCAGCGTGCAAGGTGATAACTATTCCTGCTGGGATGATCAGTGCCTCAAAAAAACAGCCATTACCAGCACTAATATTTCCATCTTCCCAGCAGTACCAGACGCAACAAGCTGGCAAATTATCTGGCACACTCAATTTCTCTCCTCTTCGGACCCCATTTCTGCCCCTGTCCTTTTATCCTTCCTTTGTGTATTAACAGCAGCAGCCCAGCCCACAGCCTTTGTGAAATACACCAGTATGGCTTCTACTGTTTAATCCATCCTCAGCGTATCTAAACCTACAAAAATACTAGAATAACATGCGAAACTACATCACTGTACATAATGTCATTTTGATATGTAAACCACAAGAAAAGCTGTGTTGATCATATGGAAGCATTCTGCAGCACCTGACCCCATCTCTGGAGGTGTTCAAGGTCAGGTTGGATGAGGTCCCGAGCAGCCTGGTCTAGTATTAAATGAGGAGGTTGGTGGCCCTGCCTGTGGCAGGGGGTTGGAGATTCATGATCCTTGAGGTCCCTTCCAACCCTGACCATTCTGTGATTCTGTGACACAGTTCTTTCAGAACTGCAAAAGTCCTGTGGGGAAAAAAAAATAAAAAATAAAAAAAGCAGCTTTGTCTTGGCTGCCCCACTGACTTTTCTGTTAGGAACTGTTCTGCAGTAGCAGCAGACATGTAACATTTATGCGCACTTACATATTAATAATTAATAAATAGCACTGGTTTAGCTAAAGGATAAGGTTGATCTGGATAGGGAAGTAACTGTTTTACATTATAATCCTCAGAGAACAGATGACACGGGCCAGAAGAAACATGATACAATATAAAGTAATGATACACTTGGGAGAGATGACTCCAAACCATACTTCAAATGGCAGGAAGCAGGTTAGCAGGTTTGAAGAGGTACTACACCCATTCAAGAACGTGATGGTGCACTGCATAGCAGGAATCTAACTGGAAAGTGTTGTGTTAGGGAAAAAAATGCTATGGGAACATGAGACCTGTATCTATTAGCCTCCATTTCAGGGACAGTATCGTACTTTGCTCATCTGACTTGAGGCAAACAATTCAGAGGTGGCAGTGAAGAAAAAAGTAGTAGTAGCCAAAAGTATGGTTGGTGGAGCAAAAAAAAAAAAAAAGAAGTCTTTATAGGTGAAAATTAGTATCGCAAATCTTAACGTTAGTAATAAAATTCCTTATCGAGGTATTTGCTGTTTATGTAATCAAGCTGTATGATTTTGCATACCTGTTTTGAACTTCTGGAGTCAGAGGAAGTGTTGGGAAATTTATGTACTAAAATAATTAAAAGATTTAAGAAGTTAAGGATTTTTCATTAATGTTGTGAATTTAAATAACTGAGGTGACAACCTGGAATCTAAGAAACTAACATCATCAAATTCTGATCTGCCTCCTCGGGAGTTAGCAGAGCCTATGCTATGCTGATGCCATGGTGTAAGGACAACACGTTTGAACTCCAAAGCAGGACGCGGCCACGTGTGAGCAGCTGGCGCCCGTTCCCTGGTGTGACACACGGTGCGGTTGGGCTGCTTTTCAGTTTCCAGTGTGTGTTCTCTCGGGCCTGCGGGTTTTCTTCTTCATTGAGGTGGCTGCACCTGGGGAGGCCTTAGGGCTGTGTACCAAAGTCACTCCCTTTCTCCTTATTTCTGCGGTAAGGCCCCAAGGCAACATGGCTGCGCTGTAGAGGACGGGTATCTCGGGGCGCAATCCCGCCGGGAGCGGCGCGGGCAGGCGGGCGCTCAGTGACCGTTCAACGGCTGCGGCGAGGGCCCGGCTGGGGGCGGGCGGGGCTCGGGCGGCCGACCGGGGAGGCGGTTGAAGGTGGTGGGCAGCGGGATCCTGATGACCCACAGTGGGCCGGGGGGAGGTGGTGAGCGGCGGGGATGGGTGGGAGCCGGGGAGCCGGGTTGTGGGCTGTGCGAGGAGAAAGCCTGGGCTGCGGCAGGTGCCCTGGAGTAACGTTCCCTCATGGAGGCGGTGCTGCCAAGGCCAGCCTTGCTCTGCTTTTCTTGGTATTGCAAGGATAGAATAGTGTGAGAATGCAAAAGGTTAGGCTGGGTGACTTGTGGAGATCTTGTGTAGTTTCATCGTTGTGCCTGCTGGACTTAAAAAGGACGAAGTTGAGCTGTCTTAGCACCAGCACTGATCTTGCCCCTTTCCAGATTGCCCTCTCTTAGCTTCCTTATTTGTGACTGTGTGGTTCTGTGGGCACCCTTGGAAATTTGGGGGCAAGGGGAGAATGGGATGTTTGTCATTGCTACGTGATCTTGTCTTGCTCTACAGGAGAATGCTTTCTAAAAATGGTTGCTTCATTCTAGAATCTACCAGCACGCATGCCATTTATCATCAGGATACAGGGGGAAACTGGGGTTTTCTTTTTCCACCTTCTGATGCAGCAGATATCAAAGAAAAGGGGAAATGGTTTTAAGTTGAGGGAGGGGAGATTTAGGTTGGATGTCGGGGAAGTTCTTTACAGTGAGAGTGGTGAGGTGCTGGAACAGGCTGCCCAGTGAGCTTGTGGATGCCCCGTCCCTGGAGGTGTTCAAGGCCAGATTGCATGGGGCCCTGGGCAGCTGGGGCTGGTATTAAATGTGGAAGTTGGTGGCCCTGCCTGTGGCAGGGGGTTGGAGATTCGTGATCCTTGCAGTCCCTTCAAACCCTGACCACTCTGATATCAGTGATATCTCTGATATCAGTCATGCATTGCTTTGTGTGCGTATTTAGTATCTAGAATATAGCCTTAAGTAAGCATTCTTAATTTGGATAGAATGAAATTTAATCTTCCAAGTCAGCAGTCTCAGTTCGTTCTGCAGGAGTTTTCTTTGCTGTTTTTGTCTACAACTTCTCAGCCTTATCTTTTCTTGAGTTGAGAAGTTTGTAACACAGGGGAATTCTTAGTTTCGTTAATATCTGTAGTTTCAATGGACTTGATAGTTTCCTGTGAATTTATTTGCTTATTTATCCTGCTGCTTTTTTTTTTTTTAAAGCGTTGCACTTCAAAATGCTGAAGGGAGCTCAGCAGTTCGTTGGCAAATCCCTCCAGCCAGCACTACCTGCGTCCCATTTGCCTTCTAAACAAGGTGAGTAGCTTGCTAAGCCAAAACGTCAGTTTCTTTTAAGGAGATAGGAAGGGTATGTAAGGTTTATTAGAGTTTCAAAGTTGATTTATTCAAACTACAGAGATGTATAGCTGTGCATTGGTCTTTCTATATCATCTCTGTGGTGAGATCTTAATTTAAAGTACATCAGGTTTTCTGATTTTGTATTTGTAAATTTGGCAAACTGTAGGAAACCAGATCAGGCCTTAAATTTGGACTCTTGGGTTAGTTGACTATTTCTGTTGAAAACATTAAAAGCATGTAATTTAACAAACAGATTATTGTTCAATTTTACTGTATTGTTATCAAGCCTTCATACAAGTTAGTGGAAAAAACAAATTAAAAATTCACCAAATGCAATATTTATATCAGGTGTATGTATTATTTGTTTGTTGGTTTGCTTTTTAAACCTGTTTATGCATTCTGAGTATTACATTACTGAAGCTATTAATAAGTTGGAAATCTGTAGTGGCTGGAGAAACAATGCCAGCATCACCAATGCAGAAAGAAACTGAGTAATTTTTCATATTGTGTTAAAATTCATGGTAGAAGTGGAAAATTGGTCCTGTGGTGAGTTAGAGCTTTTAATGTGTGAATAAATGAATTCCTATATAATCTCTTTGTAGTTGAATTTCAGTAATGCCCTGAAGGCAAGTATCACAAAATAAAATTGCAGGTTACATTTACAGTACTTTTATTGTAGTGTTTTCTCTTATCTTTGCCAGCATCAGAAGTTGCTTTCAACTTTCAGACTGAATTACCTAGCAATGCTCAAGTATGTTTGCAGAGTAAGGTTGACTGGGTGAGTACTGAGTAAATACTGAATGACAAAGCTGATGAAGGTGCATGTTACAGCATGCCATGAAATAAAGTTGAGTGGAACCTTTGTGTTTCTCAGTGAAAAGTGGTATTTCTAGCAAATGCTGTCCTTAAATCTGGGTGTTTGACACTAGAAGTGTCAAAAAGAAGTGTGAGATTCCAACCAGATGTACAGTAATGGAGGCATTTTGTTAGCAGTGCTTCCACTTGCAGAGAGGAAGAAAATCAAACTATGATAGGTTCCGCACTGTTCTCAAGTCAATTTTCAAGCAGCTAGGTAGCAGTGAACAACCTGATTTAAATGATTAATTAACTGTTTTAAAGAATTAAAAATTAACTAATTAAAAAAATTAGTTGAGATGTGTAGCCTGTGGAAAATGTTCAGGTTTTCATGAGGTAGTACTGAAGCTTGAGCTTTCTCTACAGCTGCTACTGGCAAAAAATCCTAGCTGTGAAATTACGTTTTCCTTTGTTACAAGCAAAATGATGTTCAGGGAGTATAAGTGCCTGAGAATCCAGATAGAGCTTCTCCTGGATTTTGCACTGTGAATCATTTAAAGCCAAGTATTCTTTTTATTCCTTCATGATATACAAAGCAGTTTTGAAAGAAAAGATACGGAGAGTGCTGAGTTCACTGCATCACCTAATATGGAAGGAAAGGCTTGACAAGGCTCTGACAGTTTTAACTTGCAACTTAAGTGTAATGTGAAAATGAACTTTAGAGTTTTGAAAATACATGCAGTGATGTAGGCCTGTTCTTTATAGATTAATTCCATTCTCTTAGATGCATTTCACATGCGAGCATGTAAAAGACTGTTTTTGCATGTGGTGATTTTCCACTGTTTAGGTCTTGAATTGAAAACCGCACATACCATAAATTGTGATATTAGAAAGCGGTTGGCAGAGTGCAGTGATGCCAGTGGTACAGGAAGAAATGTTGTGGTGACAAAGTCTCACACATCACTATAAATTGCTGTGGCTTTTGGGGGTTTCTTTTATCTTGGGTTTTAAAAAGAAGTGCATTCCAAAACTTCCAGTCCTTCTTGTTTCCTCAGTTCTCGCCTGCCTTCCCCATCTGCCTCAAAATGAGATTAAAATTCCTTGGCCAGTACTGTGATGACAGTCTCGCACATTACTATAAATTGCTGTGGCCTTGAGAGTGTTTTAATGCACCTTCTTTGCTGTACTTTGAAGGCGCTTCTTAATAGCTCAGATTTGCCACGACTGCTCAGAAATCAGAAAGTGGCAGTTAGAATTAGCAGCATGATTCGCTGGTAACTTAATCCTTCTAAATCCCTAGATCTTTCAGATTTTATTCCCTGTGGAAAAGGTAACTGGTCAACCACAGAAAGTGGAAGTGTGAGCAGGGTAATGCTAAAATATTTTACCATTTCATAATTCTTATCTGTGACTGCAATGTGCTTAGCACCCCCTGAAAACTAGTAGTGCAGTTAAAATACTGAGTGTTGGCTGCTATCTTTTTTAAAAAAATAAATAGCTCCTGCTTTTTACAAATGTAGGTATTTGAGAATTTTTTTTTCTTTTTCTTTTTTTTTTTTTTTGGAGGGGGTTGGGAGATCTGTTTTAAGATGAACAATCAGTGCAGAGAAGTTTAAGACGTAGTGGTGTACGTGATGGTTTTTTGTGATTTCTTTTATCTTGGGTTTTAAAAAGAAGTGCTTTGCAAAACTTCCAGTCCTTCCTAGTTCCTCAGTTCCTTGGCCAAACCCCTGTGGAACTTTTCAGGAACCAAAACAAATTTTGGAGGGGAAACTGTTTCCATACTTTCCCAAATACTGATTTCAAGATGGTGTGGGTTTTTGTTTTGTTTTGTTTTGTTGTTGTTGTTTTTGTTTTTAGCCAGATGGAACTCAGTGTTGTACTGTAAATGTTGGGTCTTGCTGCTTATGAAACATTTCATAGAATCATAGAATTGCACAGGTTGGGAAAGACCTTAAAGATCATCAAGTCTAACTGCAACCAAAGTATACTACCCTAACAACTCTCCACTAAATCATTGTGGGGGAATCCAAATCTCTCATTCTGTGTTAAGGAAAGTCTTTTGTCCTCCTCTTATTATTCTCTGGATTCTGGCAGTGTTTAGGTTAGATAAATGAGGAGATATTTGTGTTGTTATTAAAAAACAGCAATAGCATTGTAAAATCCTATCTGAATGATTGCTGTTTCAAATGTGCGTATTCTTTTTAATATAGGTAATAAGTAATACCTGCACTGCTCTGTAAGTAGTTGAACTGTTCCCTTATTATATATAATCAGTAATAAGAAATGTTTTACACATTCAAGTGAAATCTCTCGGACTTTTTACTTGACCCCTATTCCTGTTAACAGTTTTGCTCCCTATTTTAGTTATCTGAAGTGACCGAAATGAAGATCTTAACTCAAAACACAGTGCCTCTTCAACCCAAACAGGAATTGGATGCAAAAAAAGGTAACAACGCATTGTAAGCAGATGTTTGTCAGATTTGTGTTTTCTGGGTAGAAGGCAAATGAATTTTGAAGGGATGTGGGCTACATATTGGTTGTTTTTCTTTTATGATTAGTTGAGAGTTTTGTTTCCTTTCTATAGCACAGTTTAAGAGCAATGTGAAACATTATTGTTTTCCCATAACATTCCATGTAAGTGTAAATGTTTGCCACAAGTGAGCTGGGAAACCTCCAGTAGAGTAATGAGACTTAAGTTTGATTTGCCTTGTAGAAACATGCTACTTCTGTGTGAGTTACAAAGAGGCTGTCTTCCAGGGTTCCGAGACCAACTACTGGTATTTCCTTGTTGAACAAATTGCAGGGAGTCTGTAGCATAAAATTGGGCTCACTTTTTGCATTCTTTTGTATTGAAAAAAAAAACAAACAAAACCCAAACCCTTAATAGCCTGGAACAGTCTACTGTATTTACTTAGTCAGTGTGACAGAAATAAAATGGGGTGCTATGTAATTTACTACCAACATACAAGATCAGGCTTAAGTTAGTATTGCTTTTAATACTGCTTTTTATATAAAAGCAGATTTTTTTGTCTAAAATCATTGAATTACCAAGATGGGGGAAAAGACTTCCAAAATCATCTAGTCCAGCCATCTACCTGCCACCAGTATTTCCCCATGTCCCTTACTACATTTATGTCCCTATTTAACAAGAAGACACATCAGTTCTCTGCATTCTCAACTTGTGAGCATTAAACATCAATATTGAGCTTAATTATGTGTATTTACAGAAAGGATCAAATACAGCAGAGATTTCCTCTTGGAGCTTTCAAGCGTTTCGCTCTCTCAAAAGAAGCCAGAGTTTCTGCCTGATCATCCAATTGTACTTGAAAAACCAGTAAGTGTATTCTTTATTTCAAGGGAAGCTTTAAAGAAACAAGCATAGAGGTTTATAATAGCCATTTGGTAAGAAACATTTTTCTTCAGATTAGCCTGCTATGTCAATGAAAGCTTTCCATATGTAGATTCTACATGAAATCACAGTGCAGTGTAATTTTGGATTTTTATCTTAATTCCTGCTTTGCCTTTTCAAAATCAAAGAGAATAGTCTTGAAGGTTTGGACAAGTTCTGATTTCAGAGTTTGTGCATCGGCGTCCACTATAAAAATTGTATTAATGAACTTACTGTAGTTTGTGTTATTATTTCTCATCCATGCATCTGCAGAATGCATATTCTGTACTTTTTGATAAAAATATATGATGAATATGAAAGATATCCAATGGAGCCACTGTAACCTTGGAGAAGAAATAATCCTCAAATACCTGGTACACCAAGAATGGTTTGCATTCTGCCCATGTATGGGGAAACATTCATGTTATGAAACCAGCCTGCATCTTACCACTATTGGTGTCATTGGGGTGCAGTTCTTCAGAGTTCTTACCAGAAGTGTGGCTGAGATAATGTTCATCTGGGCACATCTCAAGACTGTTCTAAACTTTTTAAAGCTCTATTCTTTGGAAAAACAAAGTTATGTAGACAGCATCCCGTCTTCTTGTTTTGATATTTTACATCTTCCTGTGATGTTTGTCTTCAAGTTTAAAGTAAGGTTTTGAGGTTTTAGTTGTTTGAAAGCTGGCTTTCAGATTAAAAGTTTCAGCTCTTGAATTTCAAGATTTTTTTTTTCCCCTTCTCTTTCAGTCCTTTGAGTTTCTAAGTGAAGTTGTATATTTTAGTTTGGTAGTCTGGGGGGAGGTGGGAATTGCATCTTAGTTAAATTATTCTTATTTTTCCCAGTAAGAAAAGAGTGTTACAGCTCTAAAGCCAAAGTGCAAAAAAAAAATTTTTTTTTAAGTGTTAATGCCTGGTTTAAAAAAAAAAAAGTTAAAAATGCAACTGGAAAAATAGCCTTTTTCTGCACTGTCATAGCTGGATTAAGATAAATTTATCTATATCCTTTCAATAGTCCCTTGTGAATTTTTGATCTTGAGAAATCAATTTTTAGTATGACAGTTGCTTTCTTTTAAATAGCAGTCCTGGACAGCATCTTGTTTCTGGGGCAAGTTATTAGGGGGTGACAAGGAAAGAGCTTTTATATGTTTGCATGAATACTTAAGTAGAAAACTCAGAGATCTTTAGAAGGCAAACTAAAGAATAAAGTACCGAAAAAGGTTTTTGTCCTAGTTCTTCTGTAAGTTTTATTGTGGTGTGTTGAGGCATAAAATTCACAAACTACCTTATTCGTATTAAGGGCAATGGAAATTTGGCTATTAAAGATACTTAAATGCCAAAAAATCTCTCGCTTGAAAACATACAATATCAATTTTGATAATGCATGCTCTTACATAGTTATGTTCATGGATAAAGGAGGACCCGTGCAGAAATTGGAGGGGAAGACTGAGCGAGAAAATTGCTTATGGCATAGCTAGATTGCAAGGAATCAGCTGAGGGAGAAAATACAGTAGAAGCTGGTGTAAGCCAGGGTGGGGTGCATAAGGTTGTTTTGGGGTGGGTGAGTGTATGTGCAGGAAGGTGGCATAAGTGCATTGTTAGATTGTTTTAGACATAAGATTATGTTACTGTTGATAGTGTCTGCTTTCAAAAGCTTTGTTCTCTGTTGGTAGAAAAGGTTTATAAGCAGACCTACGGAAACTTAGTTTTCTTGTCACTGAAGTAACTTGAGGGTTTGTCTTGCAGGAAAACAGCAACCCTTTTGTTGACATATACAAGAAGTGACAGGTAGCTTGGAAGATGAGAAATCCATCAGTGAAGGAGCTACATGTAATGTAGACCTTCAAGATTTTTAAAGGTACTTGGGTGCCTACACGTGAACACAGGAGCTTACAAAGTCTGTACAAATACCTATTTCTATCTGTAATTTCTGGAATGCTTCAGAAGGCAAAATACTTCGTAGCACCTGAGATGGTAGTACAGTTGCAGTGAAAATAAATCATTTTACAGTTTGGTGTGACTTGTTGTTGTTGTTGTTTTCTTTGAATAGGCTGCATTACATAGCATTACTGTTTGACTATAAACTTTAAAGCAGTACTTGACTGAGGCCTCGTTTGCTCCTTTCTTACCAGTAATAAAAGAATAACAAACACCATCAAATCTCAAATGTGTCAGGATATGTGCTCCTAAAGGTTTGTTTTTTTCCTCTCTTCTCTTGCAATCTTCCTGTTCACAAAATGTGAATCATTGCATTTCCCAAAGCTGTTTGTAAATAACTGTCCAGTTATTTCTTCACTTTTGTCCAGTTATTTACTCACTTTTCTAACTGGAAACAGTGGGCAACATTAAGAAACAATACAGCTTTTCACTACTTGTCTTACCTGGTAAAGTGTATGCCAGTACATAGTGGATGCTGTAATTTATTTTGGTTCAGCTAGAACAGTATTTAGAAGAGAAAGCATAAGTGAGTATTCATCTACAACAACTTTCAGTTGACAAGGATTAGTAATAGTTATTCTGTACGAATGTAATCATCTTCAAAACCTGAGTTCAGACCTCAAATAACATGCTGTGGGTGGTGAAGGCAAGTTTTCAGCCTTTCAGTGGCAAAAGGTAGCAGGAGCTAAATCAGATTATGTTGAATATTAATTAGTGCAGAAAAATGTCAAGTTTACTTTCACAGATATTGTTTTTTTTCTTGCAATTGTGCTAATAAACATATTATTTTAATTCCTTTTTATTTTTTTTATTTTTAGCAGTGGTTGGTCAGTTAAAATTAGCTTGCAAGTATATTCTATTCGTATACTGTATGCAAGTCTGGTGGTTTCACATCAGCAGGTACCTAAACTCTAATACACCCCTTTCTCGCTGTCCTTCCTCAAAAGAAGAAGAGGAGTAAATACTGTGAGATTGGGATGGGTGGAGATAAGGACAGGAGACATCACTCTCAAATTACTGCTGTGGGCAAAGCAAGCAGTGCAGGGAGATTTATTTAATTTATTACCTATTACTAACAGACTAGAGCAGTGAGAAACAAAAGCAGGCACACTTTCTCCCCTGTCCACTCTTTTTTTACCTTCATCTGAGCAGTGAAGGGGAATGGGAGCTGCAGTCAGTCCATAATGCTTTGTCTCTGCTGTTCCTTCGTTGTTGCTCTCTGCCCCTGCTCCAGTGTGGCATCCCTCTCACAGACTGTCTTTACTTGAATGAATCCTTCTTGGGTGGTTTCCCAAAGGCTGCAGCTCTCCAAGTCCCTCTCCAATGTGGCTCTGTACCATGGGGCCCATCGTTACGGAGCAGACTGTTCCAGCACGAAGACCCACTGGCAGCAGCTCTCAGACCTCCTGTTCTACCATGGCTCTGCTCCACAGGCTGCAGCTCTGGCTCTGGAGCCTGCTCTTGCAGGGGCTCTCTGTGGGCTGCGTGTGGAAATCTGCTGTGTGTGGTACACCATGGGCAAGCTTCTCCTGGGCTTCAAGAAACTTCTGCTCAGCTCTGGAGCACCTCCTGCCCTCCTTCTGCCCTGATGACGATGGCTGCAGACCTACTTTTCTCACACTTCTCAATTCTCTTTCCCGGCTACTGTTGTGCAGCAGTTTTTCCCAAGCATTGCTCATGGCTCAGCTCTGGCCAGCAGTAGATCCCTTTCAGAGCCACCTAGTGCTGGCTCTTATCTGACATGGGGTAGCTGCTGGGCTCTGCTCATAGAAGCCAACTGTGCTACTAAAATCTTGCCACATAAACCTCATACAGTAACTAATGTTGAGGAGAAAAATCTTCTTTGAGTATGTTTCTTTTTCATCTGAGAGTCTTAGAGTTTGGTTGATCTTTTTCCCCATTATGCATCAGAGGCAATTTCATTGTATAGCTCTCTTAAAACTCTTAAGCGATACACAAGTTTTTATGATTCATGCAAGTGTTTGTTTACTAGCAAACAAGTGGAGAATTTTTATTAGGAGGATGTGTGGCATCTACTAGAATGAGTTTCTCTGCTCCAGCACCTCTAAGCAGATAATTTCTTACAACTGGAAAAACATAATAAACCTGATTATACAGTGTCAGTTTTCAGTACCAGTTTAGCCTCTAGCAGTGTCATGGTCACTTTATTTTTTTTATTGCTAGATTAGTAATGAAAAGAAAATATACATACACCAGATGGACGTTGTGACAAAGTAAAAAAAGTCAACTAGATCTAAGGGAAAATGAGTGGTTTGTCTTTTACTTTGCTAAAGGCAGGAGAGATTTAAACTGTTCACTGATTTCTCATCTCAAGAGTGTAATGTGGATGTTAGGATGCCCTTTAAGTAGATATGTAGCTGGGTCACAGATTTCTATGTTTATAATAGTATCTGTGCCATTAAAGGAGGATATGACCTGGTTTTATTTTTTTCTTAAGTAGTTAAGATGCCTTGATCCCCAGCAAGTGCCTATATGTGACAGTTTTAAGAATGTCAGGTTTAGTCTTAGCCATAGCTTCTGGATTACAGAACCATACTGCAATGATTGCTTGCTTTTTATACCTGGTAATATTTTAGCTGAGGTGAAATAAAAATGGAGAAACACTACAAGGAAGAGGATATTCTATTGAATGTGACTTTCAAGTTATTTTTTGGCAACTATTTATAACCTGGAACTGCTCCATGAGTGAAGATAGTGATATTTTAGTTTGCAGAGCTTGTCAACCTGCCATTGGAGGGTGAGGTTACACCAGTCACTTCCTTCCATGGTGGGTGACGTGTACTGCTCAGATGCCAAAGGAACAGCAGGAAGTCTCATTAGGGAGGAAAGTATTTGTGCTTCCAGGTTTATGGTTATTTATGCTCTAGCAGTGGTTTCTCTAATGACTTCTCAGTGAACAACCAGTTTTAGGAGTTGCTCTGATTTTCTAAATGTTCAAGACAGAGCTCAAAGCAAATGAGCTGTGGAACATTAAACCTGTGGATCCAAAGCGGTTTGGCCCGCAGATACACATTTTTTCTTGCGAGGGAGAAGAGAGGGCAGGGGCCATAGGGGCTCTTAAGAGAAAATGGTGCTGCCTTGTCCTTTCTTGGGCAAAAAATTTCCTGAATGATAGTGTTAACATGAACAAATTATTCATTTATTCTCCTAAAGTAGACTTAGACATTTATGGAAATGTGTTTTCAACTTTATACCTGTTTCTCCGGTACAAGGAGAAAACAGCAGCATTAAGTAACAATTGTTTATTAATGCGCGACTAAAAGTATTCACAAATACACAGTCACACCAATCAAGATGCAGTTTTCTGTGACAGGACTAAATATGCACAGTTAACAGTTGAGCTTAGTTTTGTCTTTTTTTCAGCTTTTACAATGCATTATTTCACTAAACTGATCACAAGAAGGCAATGAATGTGATTTTCCATATTTTAGAACAGATTACATCCAAAGTATTGCAGTATCACGTGATAAACCTCTAACCCAGCACACCTGTGCACTGTTAAATGTTATTGTAGTGAAAAACATAACATAATTACTTGGAATCACAGCTTCTAGTTGTTATTGAGGACCCACCACGATGCTGAAAGAGAAAAGAGTTCATGTATTTACATATACAGTATTTCTATCACATAAACTTTCTAAATAGAATAGCTATAATGCATAAGTCACTGCTGGTGTAAAGAAATGGTCATTATATATGCAGCTATACAACAGCTGCACACTTTCAAGGACAGAACCACTCCAGGCAGGGGACGAACACTTACAACACTACCTGATCATAAATGGTAGGAGGATGGCAATAACATGAAAATTTAGATCTCTTTTTGATAACATCTCTGTCTGGGGTGGATTAGCACAGAATTAAGCACCCAAATCCCAGAGAGCAAACCACATAAATTCTCACTGAGGGCCTGCCTGTTCTGCTGCATGTGACAGTGCTGTTGCTGAGCAGTGTCTCCTGGGTTCTTCTGCTGCCATCAGTGACTTTCATTCCTAGTGACATTATTCAATCCTGATGCTGGTGTTTTGTTTTTATTTTTATGCAGGCTTAAGAGTGTTTTGCCTCACAGTGACTTGTAAAATGTCATTTTCATAAAAAGGAAACGGCAATCACTGAATTATACATAGAGCCAAAGTGAAACATATTTGTAGCTCTTTCCCCACAGCCCCTCCACACTGGCCTTTGGAAATTGAAATCTTGCAGAGAATAACAGCAAGATTTATGGAGAGAGACAAGGAAGCAGGGAAGGACTGTGACTGTATCTTAGGTGCCAAGTGCCCTTATTGGAGAGGTGCTCAGGGACTGTGCATTTTGCACTGTACAGTTTGGGGATTAAATTCATTAACACATTTGTTCCAGTGGCTGTGTCCATAAACCTATCAATTTCTGGCATTTATTTGAAAACAAGTTATTCCTGAAGAAGTATATTGAGAAGATGGTTAAGAATCCTGCTTCACTGTGAACTATTGAAGTCTAGTAGGCTCTGACACATCACTGGATTAATAAACTTTAACAACAAAAAATGTCAGTATAACGGTTTATTTCATGGATTATGGAGCCATAAACATTCAGTAGTTTTCAACGTTTTCTTCACTGAGAGCTACTTTAATGTCCTCAAATCCAGATTTTCACACAGAATCACAGAATCACAGAATTGTAGGGGTTGGAAGGGACCTCCAGAGATCATCGAGTCCAACCCCCCTGCCAAAGCAGGTTCCCTACACCAGGTCACACAGGTAGGCATCCATTCCATCCAATCCATTTTGGATTTAGGCAAAGTGTAGGCATTTCATGCATGTGAACTGAGTGATACCTGGCACTGTGATGCAATGCCCTGAAGTAATTTGGTCTGCTTGCAACAGGAGTGCAAGTTGTTAATAGTCACGGTTCCTATTAACTGATAGTAAATGAATAACAGTATTCAAACACTGTGTCTTCCCGAGTCATTCTTAGCTGTGCACCTGTAGTCATTTGAACTAATCCGCTGAGTAAAGGCTCGGGTTGTATGTAATGTTTGCAGCAGATTCAGATGATGATTTAGAATCAGATCAGCTCTTACTTAATCCAGGTGTGCCAAAAGGTGTAGCTGCATCTAAGCTAATCAGTTTGTAGAGTAAGGCCTGTCCTGTACTAGTTGAATGGATTGGTTTCTTTCTTCCTGATTTTACAATGATTTCAATTTACTTCGTCTAAAATTCTCCCATAAAATACACCTGCAATATTGCAGCCATCACTTTTTACTTTATAAACATTCTCTATGTTTCAAATAGAAATGCAATTTGTGTAGTTTATGCGTGTGGAACATTTCCCCTTAAAAAAAAAAAAAAAAAAAAAAGAACAAAAATCAGCTATCTAGTCTGATGTGCAAATTACAGATGCTGAATGGAGTGCTGTGAATGCGTGACTTCTGCTTGCCCAGCCCTGAGGAGCGCAGGCCGAGATGCGGCGTTTCCATGGCAACTGCAGGCCGCACTTCCCTCTGCAGGCACCTGCATGCACTCTGCATCCAATTTCACACGCTTCTCTATTGAGGCATTTATAAACAATGTATGTTTCCATTTTGTTCTATATTAATTGTACGTTCCCTAGCTGTGAATAAACCACCCTTGGAACGCTTCTGGCTACACCTAGCTCTTTGACACAAAGACCGTGTGAGAAAATGCTGTGTTGTTTCCTAAAGCCAAATTTATCTTAAATCCAGCAGTTTCCCAGTAAGACATAAGACTTGAAGGGATTCTTTGTTCATAAATGCAATCCCCTTGTATTGCAGGAATCCTGACTTAAAACCAAGGGTTTGGCTCGTGAGGTCTGAAAACTCATCTTTTCAAAGGTGACCTCAGGTATAAGGCTAGGTAATAACTTTATTTTACTTTCTTATTTTAAATTTAGGCTGTAGTCAGACATAAGGGGAATTAAGAGTCTTGCACTGTCTCTTTTAACGTTTCTCTGAAAAGGAAGGTGTATGGTTATTGGCTTGAAATAATAATTTGTAATCTTTGAACAGATTGCTTTTTCCCCATGTTTTAACACAGCAGGAAGCATGGTACAGTAAAACTGGTTAGCAAATCTGAATTACTAGTAATTAATGCTTCCTTCAGTTAATGCAAATATGATTAAATTTAATTCATCAGGAGGCAGTTCTCTTTGCCTGAAGATCTTGAACAGAGTCTATTTTATGATTTGCAGACAATATTGTATACTCTAGGTCATTTCTCAAGTAGCGTGTGCTATCAAAACATTTGTACCATATAACATAAAACAGTGGGGTTTATTTTTGCTGATGCATTTTATGTTTGTTTGTTTTTTTGCTTAAAATAAAACCATTTGGAGTCCCTTCCTCGTCCATACAAAAGCAGAACTGACTAAAGGGTGGTATTATGCAGTGGACTCATATAAGGAACACACTGATACAGCAGAACTCTTCACATGCAACAAATAAAACTTTGTGAAAAAAATGGTGTTTACCAGGGACTAGCATTGTTGTAATGAGCTCTGGAGTTTCCAGGAAGTCCACATTACTTCTTTGGAATGTCTTGCTGTAATTCATTTGAAGGTGGCTAAATAATTGTAAAAAATAAAAAATAAGAAGACAAGTATTAAGGGACTAAATATTTTTATGTGCATCAAATTTTTTGCAGTTCATGCCATAGGAGGGATTTTGTGTTTCTAAAGTTAGACAGTGATGATAATGGGAGAGGAGAGGAGACCTCTGTGAATTTCTTGCATGCTATACTAAATGAGCTTTTTGTTCCCCTGTACAGTTAACTGTTACTCTGATGTTCTTCTCTTGATTGTGACCCAGTATACCAGTTCTTATTCCAAATGTGCTGACCTTTGTTACTGTTGTTGCTTACCCTTTCTAACAGTAAACATGCCTGCTTTGAACTGGGGCTTTGTTCAAAAGGGAAGATACTAACACTTCTCCATCTTCTGTCAGAATTGTTTCTGTCTACAGATTTAGGAACCTAGTGCTTGGGGTTTTTTAATACTAGTTACGGGAAACCTTTTTGTTTCCATTCTTTTTTTAGCCGTATGTCTGCCACAGTCTAGAAATCAGCTGCTAGTCTGATCAAAAGAGACATTCTGGAAATCTGTTTGATGAGATGCTGTGATGTGCATTTGGGAGACTTTGGCAGAGCTCCCTTGTGAATGCTGCTCAGGTGTGTTGCTGGGTGCTGCACCTCCTCTCTCCTTCCTTGGCTCCTGCAGTATCCTGCAACAGCATCACTGAACTATGCTGAAGCTGCTGTTTCCTTATTTTTTTGTCTCTGATCAACTGCTACCTATCCAATGCTATACCCTTCTCTCTATTCTATTCAAACTGGCTGTGTTTTTCTGATGTTTTTATCTATAAGCTTCATTATATTTTAGTCTTTAGTAATTATATTGTTTTGAAGCAATGTGATATATTTAGCAAGAGATCACAGAATCACAGAATTGCAGGAGTTGGAAGAGACCTCAAGAGATCATCGAGTCCAACCCTCTGCTAAAGAAGGTTCAATATAATAGGTCGCACAGGTAGGCATCCAGATGGGTCTTGAATATCTCCAGAGGAGGAGACTCCACAACCTCTCTGGGTAATGTGTTCCAGTGATCCGTCACCCTTACCTTAAAGTTGTTCTTCTGCATGTTTGTATGGAACTTCCTACATTCAAGTTTTAGACATTACTTCCTGTCCTATCATTACACATCACCAAGAAGAGCCTGGCATCATCCATTTGCCTCCTATCTCCCTTCAGATAATTATAAATATTAATCAGATCCCCCCTCGGTCTTCTTTTCCCTAGGCTGAACAAACCCAGGTTATTCAGCCTTTCCTCATAAGGGAGATAAGGGGAGATCAATTAGCAGTAGTTAATTTGTATTCAGTTCTTGTACACAATTGCTCACATAATTGCTCTCTAATCGTCAAACCTTTATGTGTATATATGTATTAAAGCAGCAACAAATCCAATAACAGAACAGCTTACCTATTCCAGATGTTGCTGTTCTCCCAGAACTCATAAATAATGAAGCGGGAATCATTTGGAAGCTTCTGTATGGAAACACTAAGAAATGTAGAACAGAAGTAATTCAATCAAACATGTCAAAACTATTTCACATATGCATCCTTTCCCAGGTTTTCTGAGTATGAACAAAATAAAAGGATTTTTTTGAAACAAACAAACAGAAACCAACACACAGTCAAACAAATATGTGAATTTTGAGAACGATATAGCAAAAACTCATCTATAAGATTTTGAGGATTTTCATGGCTTTTCATTTTTTTTTTTTTTAATATTAATAACAGCTATGATGGTCTCATTTATGAAACTCATTTTTCACATTCCTCCAATGGTTAGAGTCTGAAGAAATGCAAATCAGTAATACAGAAAATCAGAGAAATGTGCTCCAGAGAGAATCGACCGACACAGCACGTTGTGCACACAGAACAGCTGAAGGGATAGAATGACTTGTGCTGCTTCACTGAAGAGTCTCTTCATGCAAAGTCTGCCCTTGGCTGTGAGACGCAGACCAGATGCTTTGAGAGCACATAGCAACAGAGTATCAAGACAAATTGATGTCTGATGAAGATAAGTTTGAAAATACTATCTCCTGATATTGCTTATTTGTTCTTAGGGCATTCAGCTAACATTTTATCATAGATAAAATGTGTCCCATAATATACTGATTGTGTACACCGGGTTATCCTGTTTATTGTCCTGAGTGTATCAGGTTCATAGCACATGGGGAAATTACACATTGTTTTTTAGATATATGGCACAGAAAGCATATGTATGTACTTCACTGAGTAGCCAAAATCTTTGAGCTTACTGGTGGTGTGCTTGAAAACTAACCTCAGATTATATTTCACACAGTAATAGCTAATGAATTCATAGAACTTACTGGTGTATGCAAAAATACACTGTAAAATATAAAAAACAATCAAGAATTTTTGGGGGAAGAAAAGAAGGTAAATCAATGGCATAAATAGCTCAACTTAAAAACAGCCGGTAGGTGGCATTGCAGATCTGCCAAATGCCTTTAAGCTTGGGAAAGAAAGTTCTTGCTTCGTTTTCTAAGTTGCATTCTGAAGTGGTGTAAGCTCTCATGCAAGTATGCAATCACTGAAGTTGGATGTTCTTTTTCAGAGGGACAGGGAGTGGCACTCTTTGTTCTTCCAGCTTAATTTTCTTGTTTTTATGAATATTGCTGGTAGAATGTGTCATGCTGGTACTGTGTCCAGTTCTGGGCTCCCCAGTACAAAAAAGACAAGGATCTCTTGGAAAGAGTCCAGTGGAGGGCCACGAAGATGGTGAAGGGCCTGGAGCATCTCTCCTACGAGGAAAGGCTGAGTGAACTGGGTCTGTTCAGCCTTGAGAAAAGGAGACTGAGAGGGGACCTGATCCAGGTCTATAAATATCTAAGGTGTGGGGGGCAGAATGGCGAGGCCGGACTGTTTTCAGTGGTGAGTGGAGACAGGACGAGGGGAAACGGCTGGAAACTGCAGCACAGGAAGTTCCGCACAAATGTGCGCAAGAACTTCTTTACGGTGAGGGTGACGGAGCACTGGAACAGGCTGCCCAGGGAGGTGGTGGAGTCTCCTTCTCTGGAGATGTTCAAGACCTGCCTGGATGCCTACCTGTGCGACCTGGTGTAGGGAACCTGCTTTGGCAGGGGGGTTGGACTCGATGATCTCTGGAGGTCCCTTCCAACCCCTACAATTCTGTGATTCTGTGATTCTGTAATCACTGTACTTGTGATGATCTCATAGCAATAAGGCTCACCAGTTAGGGACGTGGCAGGCAGACTTTGAAACTCTTGAATATATGAGAACCATATTGTGTACACATTATGAAAATATTTCATTGTGGTCTGTAATGTGTGTATAGCATAGCTTTTTCAAGTCTGTTAAATTCAGTATAGCGGTGAGTCATTTAAACTTCTTCTTAACCCTGCTCTAATGTTTTATTTCATTTGAAAAAGAGCGAAGCAAAAATACGCTATTGAAAATGTTGCTTTTCAGTTCTTTACATTCTTTATTAGGAATGAAAATTTAACAGTGACAAACTGAGGGAAAAGTTTTCAAAGCTTCCAAGCATAGAACTGGAAGACAAATTGATCAATTGCTCACTTCCCAGGTGAGCAAAAATGATGGATGGCAGATGAGTTTTCCAAAAGATGTTGTCACTTTAGGAGCTTCTGGAAGCTGTGAAATGGTGACCTAAAAGCCTTTAAAAATGGTACTGTATCTCTGGGATTATCTTTACGGTTTTAGCATGCGTTGGGGGGCAGGAAGATTACACACAGGAGTGTGAATGTGTTTGGTTTTTTTGTTGTTTTTTTTTGAAGACTCAGTGTTTATTTCATTCATGAGATTTTGTGATACTGCTGGAAGTTCACGCACATACTTTTGACATCTCTTTATGACTTCTGTTGTATTTGAGAAGTTCTGTATAAATACATGTGCATAATCACTCAGGAAAGAGGATGCTACTGATTCTCTCTTCATAAACTATCTCTACTTAGAGACTGTTCAAGAAAATAGATTACTTTCCTTTATTCAGCCCACAGACAGTAACACTGTACTTACTGCAAACAGCCACTCTGAGCAGAAGCAGACTCCACATACTGCTTCAGAGCAAGCCTGAATTCCTCAATTTCTTCTTCTATCACAGACATTTGACGTTGAACGATCATTATGTGCTAATGCAAAAAAAATAAAATAATAATAATAATTTGTATCTTCCTATGGATTTCTTGTACTTCAAACTAAATAAAGTCTATTATAATAAATCAGAATATGCAGTCATCAAAGATCTTCATAATCTGGTTGACCATGGGCCTGGGCACCCTGCTCTGGGTGTCCCTGTTTGATCAGAGGTTGGGCCAGATGGACCCAGGGAGCTGTGACACTATTTCCTTCTTACATGAGCTTTGTTTGAATGTATCCTTTGAAAACAATGTAGAAGTTAGTACTAAAGTTTTGTATTTTAAGTTCTATTCTGTTGTCTCTTTCACGATGTATTCTGCAGACTAAAAATTATTCTTTTTTTAAGAGAGACAAGTTGAGATTGTTGCATCAAAACCTAGCATTGAAAATCAAACACCAAAACATGTTATCTTGGGAAATACTTACAGATCTTGCATTTTCTTCCAAAACTTCTTCTTCAAATGGCTCAAGCTTCAAGTCCTTTCAGCAGTGTTTAAAAAAAATTAAAAAAAAGAAGTGTGAGTAAACAGATATACCTTGATCTTACCATTTAAAAATTATTTTCATAATTGTATTCTCACATCTCCAGAAATTATAATTAAATGTCTTCTTTATTATCTGCAAACCAAATGTAAACACTGCTTGCAGAATCTTGTGTGTTTCAGTGTTTAAATTCAACCCAAGCTGTTCTGCCAAGTTTTATTAACAATACTGAGCAGGCAGTGCTTCACTTGTAATAAATCTGCTTGTTCACAATTGTTTGTTGGGCTTAAAGAAGAAGATGTCTTAAATTGCGTGGACTATGGAGAGGAGAAGGGATGGTAATTTGAAGTAGACTTTCTGCATAAAGAAAACTTCATGCAGAATAAACTTATCTAGGGGAGATTATGACAGATTGGACCAGAAATCTTTGCTGGAAATAAAAGGACAAGCAGAAGAAAAGAAATGCACACCTTCTTTTCCAGCCTGTCAATCAGCTTCTGAAGTCTGCTTATCTGGGTCATCCACTGGCTCTCTTCCTCAATCCAGCCTTTGGAATTCATAAATAATGAAGAAGAAAACATTACTAAATGCTGGAACATACCATTTTCATCTATTTTGTAAAAATCATTAACTTATCTTGCAACTTATTTTGCTTCTCAAAAGAAGACCGTGCTGCAATCACTTCAGTGTTCATTTAAGTGTAAATAATGTTAAAGCATAATTTGTCCATCCGAATGTTTTACTTTCTTCTTAAGATACAGTAGAAATCCAATACAGAAAGAAAACTATGTTCTAAATTAACTCTGGTGTTTTGAAGTCGTGATGATAACAGAAGAGAGGAATGCTCTGCTCTGCAGGTGGAACCAGGTTATAAGCTGAAGCTCTGCTTCTGCCTAAGTTATGCTGTCGCTTTTTCATTTTTATCTATAGGCTATAAATATTAACTAAGAAATGCTGACTCAACTGACAGACCCAAAATAATATCCCAGTTTGGCCCATATTTATGTATTTATTTTTTATCCATTCTTAGGCTACATACTTATTTTCCCTACAGTTTGAGCTAGTACCTCCTATATTGAATTGAAAGTTGATGTGTGTCAGTAAAGGATCTGAATTAGTAAGCACATATAAATTAAAGTTTTGAGATGAAGATTTGTTTCTTCTCCACATATGGATATGTGTTTTATAGACATTTAAATTGTGAAATGCCATACCTGTGTTAAATTGAGGGTTACTGGGTGATAGGCTGTTGCTCCTTTGAAGCCTTCGAGCAGAGCGTTTTCCTGGCCATTGCACTGAGAGCACTTCTGGTTTTGTTGGACCTTGTCTGCACAGGAACACAGGACAGTTCATAAGGTAACACATATGAGGGAGAGTTCTGTTCTCCTCTTTCTGTTTTCAGAAATGTCTTCATCTCCTTCATCTCTTTGTATCTGCCACTTTAAACTAAGAAAAAATAAATTAGGAACATCTATTGCTACTACTGAATTCTTTTCCAGATAATTTTGCTACAAATAATTATTTGTGTTTTTAATGACTTTAATGACCACATTGCTTGTCATAAACAAGGAAAAAAGGGAGGGTTAAGATGGCATCAGCCTATCTTTCAGAGAGTGAAAGCTCAAGGTCTGTCAGTGACATGGTTCTGACCTAGCCTGAAGAGCCCTCCTTGCAGTGTCATCTTGTGGTATCATCTCTGCAGAACTGGGGTTATACAGCAGCTGAAACTAAGGGATAAAGTTCACATTGAGGAAAATGTAACTGTATTAAGGAGGTATTTTTTGGGTAGCACTTGCTGCCACATATGAACAAGATAAAATCTCTTAACACTAAAGCCAAATTATGGCAGTTCCCCAGTGTAAAGACTTAAATTAGCTTAGGATTGCCTTAGTGGGGTTATGCGTCAGGCAGTTTCCCCCGTGTTAATTCAAGCATAATTGAAGATGATTTTGCATTGAGACTGAGGCATCTAGAAACTAGCCAGATTTTCTCCAAAATAGCTGTAGTTTAAGTGCTCAGTTTGCCTGGCTTCTCTATTGCTACCTCAGAAAGCAAGGAAGATGATATTTGGCTCAACAGCTCACAGCTTCTTCTCATTTTCTTTGCCATGGCACACACTAGCTATCCAAGAGGATGTTTCTGAACAGTTGTAGTGGTAAAACTGGAGGAAGAACTGTCTGTAATGTCCTGTTTGGAAGTCAACACAGAAGAGAAATCTGGCAGCAAAAAGGATATTTGTATTGCCCAATTTTACACATCCAAGGTAGTTGTTTGAGTTACAAGGACTCAAGAAGGCTAGAGATGCTGTCCTAGAAGGTATGTCAACTTGTGATTAATGCAGAGGATAGCTTAAAGCACCCAAATTAGCCTCCAGCTCTGAACTGGCCATTAGAGACTTCTTTCTCTCTCACCTAGAAAGATGTATGTGCAAATAGAGGGGTTTATATGCTGTGCCTGCTCTGTACACCTTTTAAAACCTATGTGATTCCTGTGGTCAAGCTGTGGCACAAAACCCCAGCATGAGACTCGTGTACTTCAGGAATCTCAGAACCAACAGGAAAGAAATTAAGAGAATGACAGTATGAAAAAACAACACATTTTATAACATAAAGAAGTGTTGAGATCTTAGCCCATGGAACACAATGGCTTGTGTTTTGCTCTCCCTTTCATCTCTGTAATAACTTACTGAGGATAACAAGACCATGAAGCCAAGCACCCTTTCAGAAATGTTGCAGCTTTTGATCCTACAGATTCTTATCTATGAGGAGATGCCATTAAATTCAGCTAAACTTGGATATTGATTACCAGGTGATATAGAGCTCATAGACTTAGGAGTGAACCAGTACTATGGCCTCATGTTGCAGCACGAAGCTGTAACAAGTAAGACCCTGGCTGTTTCTCTTCTTCATGTTGGGAATGTTGTGCGACCAGGAATAAAAAAAAAAAAAAGCAATCATAAAGCCAGAAGAAGCAGACAAAGAAGCAGTCAGTGACCTTGGTTATTTCGGAGTTCTACACGTTGCATTCATCTTTCTGTATTTGATATTAAATAATCAATGGATTTTAAGAGGTCAAAGGAGCAAAGATTAGGATGCAATAAAGTGCTCTCACACTTAGCCTGTTCTCACTCCTACATGCAGCCTGCCATATGATCAGAGTGCAAACCTCTTGCAGTCAATTTGAGGAAAACTATCAGTGAGTTCCTATGGAGAATGAAAAACGAATTCTTATTTCTCCTGTTATTTCCTGCATCAGGGTGCTGGATGAAACACAAAATATCTGAGTGGTTTGTGGTGGCCCCCTTCCCATGCTGGCTACCAACCTTTCCTGCCGAGTCTGCTCCTCTGTGGTTTCCATGGCACACTCCAGGGAAGCCTGGAGGGACTGGAGCTGGTTCAGCGTTTCCTTCAGGAGAAAGCGAGTCACGAACTGCTCCAAATTAGAAGCTTCTTGATAGTCCTAAAATTACATTAAAAAGAAAATGCTAAGGATTTGCTTATTGTGTTAGAAATGAATTTCCAAGTATGAACACTCTTCCCACCCGAGATAAGAGAGGCCCAAGCATAAATTTCAACAACACAGTTTCTACTAAAAAAAACCCTCCTCCTCATGTTTTTTATCTCCAGACGATTGCAATACCATATTACTTCCTACCCTTGGTTTGGGTAAGCCAATATATACTTGACAACTACTGAAGCAAATTTAGAATTTTTATTCACATCCATTCTTGTGAAATGTAATTTATTTGGCCCTGTGGCCTGTCTGTGCCAGAGCCATTGGGCAGGCCAGGTGATGGGTGATGCTGCCAAACCGCTGATGGAGTTTTCCAGAGCAGCATCACACAACACCTGCCCTGCCCAAAGCTCTTCCCATCATCAGTTTGGCTCAAGGACTGCCAGCACCAGAAACAGTGAATTTTGAATACAGGTTTTGGTTCCCATTATTTGTTCAATTATTTTGGAAGCCCCTTTTCTTTCAGTTCATTAATGACTCCAGTTATGATCTTGCTCTATATCAGTGTCAGTTAAGCTTTGCTGAAAAAGTTTCATTAGATGCCATCAAAGTATGCAAGAAATCAACTTTATGTTTAAACATCTGTTCAAAACAGAAAAAGGTTTTTGAAGAATTCATGCAACTGCTCACTCCATCAGTCACCCCAGGAATCAGATTTCCATGGACAGAATCAACATTAACATTTCCAGTAGCCCAGTTGTGCACACAGGTAAGTGCTGTGTGAGGGAAGAATTAATACAATATTGTAACCATATGCAATAAAGTAAACAACCCCTTCCTTTTCCATACAAACATGCAGAAGAACTTCTTTAAAATAAGGGTGATGGATCACTGGAACAGGCTGCCCAGAGAGGTTGTGGAGTCTCCTTCTCTGGAGATATTCAAGATTCATCTAGACACCTACCTGTGTGGCCTATTGTATTGAACATTATTCAGCAAAGGGTTGGACTTCTTATTTATAAATTTTTAAAAGAGGCATACGAGATTCTCAGTCTACCTTTTGAACAAATACCTAAGATTCATACCAGTCCCATAAACAACATTTTTTAGAAACCTTTCTGTGTAGTTCATCTTATTATGCAACACAACATCTGATTTCTCCTTCTAAATTTTCTGACCCCTTAATTGCAACTGATGTAAAACTCGGTTACACCTGATGGAAATCATGTAAGTTCCAACAATTTTGATTCTATGTGGCATGTAAAAACCTGTACAAATCTTTATAGTATGGACAGCTAAATAAACCCCCGTGGCTGAAATCCCTGGTTTGTTTCATTTCTCAACTGTCACCAGCGCACTTGGAAATAAATGAATAGAACATGACAGAAGTGACCATTTTTAATAAGTTTTTTAATCAAAGCAATATGACAAGAGGAGGAGAAGAATTAATCTGTCTGAAAGTTCTGTGTATCCAAAAATAATCTCATTACAGCTTCCCACTCATAGTTATGGTAAATCTGAGAGCAGCATGCTGAATTAGAACTTAAAATGTACGTCAATAATGTTTCATTTTGCAAACTGCCTGGGTGGGCCTGTGCTGTTGGGCACAGTGTAAACATAAGCTATGTGATCTTTGCTGAAGCCAGCTCCTTTCTGACTCCTTCAGAAATGCTTTCCTGCATATGAAAGTTATTAAAGTCTTTTTAATCAGACTTACTCCATGTTCATTCACATACCAGGAGTTCTTTTTTTTCCTGTTCTGTTGTCCCACAGTGGTATCTTTAAAGCCTTCCCAGTGGGAAAGGTCCCTATAATCTATAATCCTTGAAAATGGTTTAGGGCTACCTTGTAAGGTGCACAGATTGTTTACATAAAGATAGGCTAAGCGGATGGTAACACCATCTGTGGGAGTCTAGAATTATCAAAGATTCTTTCCTCATAGTTATCTTTTACCCAAACACTGGTATGGTCAGTTAGGTAAATGGTTATTTAATGTTTTTCTTTAATCAGAGAATTAACAACAACACTATTTCTACAGATATTATTTAAAGTTCCATTTAACTTCCTATCGTTTTTGCAAACCTGATTAATTTATGGACTGAAACCAGTGGAAGTATTTCTATTGCTTTAAATGAGGTCTCTCTGTATATCCCAGTTGAAGTGCTCATTCCTTCTGTGGAGGATCAAAGTGCCTCCTATGTAACAGACTGGAAGGTCTGACCAACTTGTTGAGTGCCAAACTCCTGCCTGCTCACACATAACTGTTACTTGTGTAATTAATTTGTAAGAACAGTTATGGCAAAAAAAACCAAAACAATAATCATTTACAAATTATCAACATTGGAATAATTTAAGTCATAGAGGAAAAACAGATTTTCAGCTACAATTCAAATTATATCTTAACTCCAGTTCTTAACAAAGAGGAATTAACAGCCATGCTTTGCTATCACCTCAGCATTCTACTTCCTACAGAAAAGGGCCTTAATTTCTATCTTACTAAAGAGCATTTCACCAAATGAAAAAACATGTTGATTTTGAACTAAGAAAAATATGTACCAATGTATTAGGTGTGTATTGTGTTATAATCAGACTAACTGGCAAGCAGAGTATTTATATTGTTGGCATTGTCCCAGTTAATAATTAGATCAACCGATGGCTTCTGTACATAAACTTGAAAAATGATCTTTTCTTGCATGTTCTTGAATTACAGTTCATTAGCATACATATTATACTATACAGCAGTTTGGGAAGTCCAAATGAAATAAGTCTTTGTTAACATATCATTCTAGTTGTTAGTTTTACTGACTGTGAGTGAATGAGGGCAATTTTCCACAGACAGCTGTGACCTTTGCAAGCAGCTAAGATTTGAGTTCCCATTAATGCTACTGAGGATGCATATAATTAGTGATTTCCCTAAGGAAAAGGTCACCATGGTCTTTAAAACTGGCTTACAGCTACCTTAACACATGCAGAAGAGGAATCCTTGTATAAGGAGGAGTATTTGAGACTTAAGTATCCCTGAGGGAGCCCACTTCTCAGCTGCCACAGGTTGTCTCTCTGGATCCCATCAAGCCCTGGCTCCAGCCCCATCCTCTACCCTCAGGTGACCTGATGCTGACTCATTTATCAAAAAAGCAGCTCCCCGAGGTGGGGCAAGATGGGAATGCCTGTGTTCATTTACCTAGAGGCAAGCAAACTAAAAGTGACTGGGACATAAAGAAAACTGAAATCTTTCTGAAGAGATGGGATATGAGGCAAGACCCACAAACTTCACAAACTTACGTGTAACTGACATCTGCCAGTCATCTATTCCAGACTCTGTACAGAGCAGGGCCAGCTCTGTAAATCATAATCATCATAGAATCATCATAGAATCATAGAATGGCAAGTCCATGGTACTGCTTTTTTTTTTTTTTTGCTTTTTTTTTTTTTTTTTCCCAGCAATGAGTTTGAAGAAACAGCTGCCTGTGCTGCATTGTTGACCTCTTTTGTGATTTCCAAGATGTGTCCAAAAAGAGAGCATCTTCACATTGCTGGGAAGTCGTCTAGCTCCACCTATTGTCATGTTTCTCTTGGTAATCACAGAATCATAGAATGGCCTGCTTGAAAAGGACCTCAGTGATCACTCAGTTTCAACCCCCTGCTATGTGCAGGGTCGCCAACCACCAGACCAGGCTGCCCAGAGCCACATCCAGCCTGGCCTTGAATGCCTCCAGGTATGGGGCATCCACAACATCCTTGGGCAGCCTGTTCCAGTGTCACCCTCTTGGATGAATTCCTCCTAATATCTAACTTAAACCTCCCCTGTCTTAGTTAGATAGATATCCTATCTTCCCTCAGCCTCTTCTCCAGACTGAACAAACCTAGTTCTGTAGCCTTCTCCTTCCTATAGTATCACTCATTATTTTATGTTGCGTAGCATTATTTTATTAATTATTTATTTGTTCTTTATTTGTAGCACTATATATTGCATTTAGTACTGTTACATGACTGAAATTTCCTATTTCCTATTTTATTTGTAATCTCAAATTCATTTCATAAAAAATTGCTCGCACATCTTTACAGAAAACACCCCCAGGCAACTGAAAAGTACTTATCATTGAATCAAAATGAGTCCAGAATAGATCTGCCCTGTAACATGTAGATGCAACATCAATGGGACATTGTCCTAGGTTATGATTTTAAATTCAGGATACAAAATTAGGCAGAATAGCTGTAGACAGAAGAAACCGAATTCATGCCCTTTTCATTTCAATGACTAAGATCTATTTCTTCAGACAGTAGGATAGCATCATAACAGAGTTGGACAGAAGCCAGATCCAGAGATGCTCACTATGTAGTTCAGTGGCTTCACACAAACTCAACTTTTAGCATATCTTTTTTGAAAGAGTGAGTGGATGCATAACATCCCAAACTATTGAATAGATGCAACTTCAATTTTAAAATGCAGCACAAATGTAACAAGTCTACTAAAGTACTATATTTCAAATAATCTGCCTGTTTAAATTCTGCCTAGAGAACTGGAACAGTGGCAAAGTCTACTTACCACTTACAATGGTGACCTACGAGCAATGACATAAAATAGCTACAGGTGCCTATAGGAGAATACTGACACTCATTTGAAAAAGCATCCATGAGAAAACCAGTCTATCACTCTCCTTTACTGGGATTATTGAAGGAATAACATACTCTTCTTGCAATAACTTGTACAAAAGTCATACCTAAATGAAAAGTAAGCTCTATTTAAAGTCCTACTAAGAGCACTGGGTAGCACAGAGAAAAGTAACTGTCTTATATCAGCAGGTAGCAAGATAAATGTAATGCCACTGCTCCTGGAAGAAAGTTGTAAGAATAGAAGTAAAGCATCAAAGCTGACAGAAGAACAGATGAATGGATTTTTTGTTTGTTTTTCTGCTGTGAAGTTATTTCTATGCACTTCCTTGCTTAGAGGTGTGGATATCAACTTAATTAAGGTTATGTTCTTTTCCTTTTTTTCCTTTTTGTTT